AAAAACAACAGAACTTTTTTGTAACATTTATAAATGTTTTTTTTTCTGTCAGTTTAGATCAGTTTAATACATTTTTGCTGAATAAAATAAATTTCTTTAAAAAAAAATTTACTGACCCTAAACTTTTGAACTGTAGTGTAGGTTGTAGAATAGGTATGTTTTGTCATTTAGTGTAATTTATTACCAAAATAAGAGGATGTACACCATTGGTAATTGGTTATTACAGATTTTCAAAAATGATATATTTAAACGTTTTTCTATATCATTTAGACAGAATTGCGAGCTCCATCTGCTCTTAAAGCTCCTTCACTTCAGAACTCAAGAGTTGTAGACAGGAGGAGAAACACTTCATCCTCTTCCTCATCTGTGTCCAGCATCAACTCTAGTCTAACTGTCTCTCCAGGAAGTAAAGGTGACCTTTTTATACCTTTATCATATAATGCTTATAGTTCATATTTAATAAAAATAGTAATTTAATAGCCTTGAAATTTGAATTTCAAAAATTTCAAAAGGAATACCCATTTTTATACTGTACTTTATGATGTTGTGATGCCTAAATCCACATTTAAAAGTATTTATGTTTTTTTTTTTTCTTTTAGATAATTTTTTTTATTATGAATCAATTGTTTACAGGACCATATACATATTAAGAAAGTAAATGACTAAAATGCAAGTGATATACCTGAAAACTTGTTGGGTATCTACTGCCATCTGCTGGTTATGTTAACATCTCATCTTCTTCCTCTCACCAGCTAAACTGAATTCCTCCCTGAACTCCAGCACTAACAGCATCGGCGCTCGTTCACACAGCAGTGTGAGCAGGTTGCCAAGTTCTAGTCGCAAATCCTCTGTCGTCACCAGAAACCCAGAGCCCCCTGTCAGCAGACGGACCTCCATCTCTACACAGGGGAGGAGGGCGTCTGAACTCCATCCCAGACCTGTTAAAGCTACACCCCTTAAGAAAACAGATCCATTACCGCCTCCACAGCTTCAGACCCCAGCACAAAATACAGTTGAAAAGACCACCTCTACATCCAGCATCCCTGCATCTGCTGCTAAGATGGGAAGTGCTCTCAGAGGAAACCCCGAACTCAAGGTCCCAGTGGTGCCAACACCCACAAACTCCCTGAAGGGAGTTCGCAGATCAGAGGGTGAGAAAAACACAGTCATGTTAATGAATAGGAACTACTAGGATGAATCTCTCTAAACCTGTCAAGAAAAATCAGAATGAGCTTTATTGCCAAGTATGTTTACACATACGAGGAATTTGTTTTAGTGACAGAAGCTTCCACAGTGTAACAGAATGACAGTGACAAGACAGGACATAGATAATAAAATAAAATATATAAATATATATCATATTAGTAAATATAGATAATATACAAAATAGACAATGTGCAAAAACACAATATATAATATTGACAATTATGTATGTTACAATTAAATATACATATTTAGCCTATGGAAAATTAAGCCTCTTAACACTTTTTGCTTTGAGACATTTTCTTGTCAACAAATTATCTTTATCATAATAAAAAACATATGTGTGACCCTGGAGCACAAAACCAGTCATAAGTAGCACAAGTATATTTGTAGCAATAGCCCAAAATACATTGTATGGGTCAAAATGATCAATTTTTCTTTTTTGCCAAAAATCATTAGGATATTAAGTAAAGATCATGTTCCATGAAGATATTTTGTAAATTTCCTACCGTAAATATATCAAAACTTAATTTTTGATTAGTAATATGCATTGCTAAGAACTTCATTTGGATCAATTTAAAAGACTATTTTCTCAATATTTAGATTTTTTTGCACCCTCAGATTCCAGATTTTAAAATAGTTGTATCTCGCCAAATATTGTCCTATCCTAACAAACCATAGATCAATGGAAAGATTATTTATTCAAAATAAATAACCTCGAAAAATTTATGACTGTTTTTTTTGGTCACACATAAACTAAGAGATCTTTTTTTTTAAATGTAGAAAAAAAAAGAAAAGAAAACTGTTGTCTAAATATTGAATGTTTACAATTAATAATTTTTAATTCATTCTTAATACCTCTGATGAATTCCTAATTATTTGACTTATGTAATACAGTATTTAAAATTAATGTTTAATATACTTAATATTACATTAATACTTAAATTACAATTACATGTCATATGGCATAATATTTCTGTTTTTATATATTTTATTTCTATATTAACATAATTTATGTAACATTAATTTAAATATTGTATTATGGTAGTATTTGTTGCAACACCTTATATTTACTCTGATTTGAATGACTTAAAATAATGAACATTTTTATGAAAATAATCTCATGATTAAAAAAATAATCGAAATGGTTCTACAAAAATGAATAACTTTTTAAAGCTGAATGCACTTATTCTTTTATTTTGATTTTGGGGTGAAATATGACCTGAACGTTGACCTGAATGTTTTTGGAGATTTAATCAGGACATTTCTGCATTAAGTCATTAACTTTTATCGATTTTATAGTTTCCTCCTCACCTGACGTCCCTCGTATCATGAAGCCAAAGAGTTTATTGACTGCATGCAGTATGGAGAGGTAAAATTGTAATATATTCTCATAACTTCTTATTTCTTTTGGAGGATTCTCTTGTTTTTGACACATGTCTTTGCAGTATTCCTGATCATCTATTCGGTCCTCCATTGGGCCTCCTGACGCCCTCAGCTATGGGCAGCAAACTGCGGAGACCATCAGCTCTTCCCACCCCAGTCAACCGCCGGATCTCTGGCATCCCTGCACTCACACCCAAGACTGTGTCACGTCTGAGTAAACCTTCAAATAACTTTTTAAAGCTGAATGCACTTATTCTTTTATTTTGATTTTGGGGTGAAATATGACCTGAACGTTGACCTGAATGTTTTTTGGAGATTTAATCAGGACATTTCTGCATTAAGTCATTAACTTTTATCGATTTTATAGTTTCCTCCTCACCTGACGTCCCTCGTATCATGAAGCCAAAGAGTTTATTGACTGCATGCAGTATGGAGAGGTAAAATTGTAATATATTCTCATAACTTCTTATTTCTTTTGGAGGATTCTCTTGTTTTTGACACATGTCTTTGCAGTATTCCTGATCATCTATTCGGTCCTCCATTGGGCCTCCTGACGCCCTCAGCTATGGGCAGCAAACTGCGGAGACCATCAGCTCTTCCCACCCCAGTCAACCGCCGGATCTCTGGCATCCCTGCACTCACACCCAAGACTGTGTCACGTCTGAGTAAACCTTCCCAGGTCACAGAGCGCTCATCGAGCTCCAGCCAAGCGGCCACTCATTCAAAGTGGTACTTTTGGCCCTTAAACTGCATCTAAATCTAAACCGAAATCTCTGATGTTCCATAGCTTGTCACAATCTCTTTATATGTATAAAGTCAAACTTTGCATTTACAGCCCAGAAAACATGAAGGAAAATGAGCGTCAGGAAGAAAAGCAAACTTCAGTGTCCAATGAGGAAACCTGCCCTCCAGCTGACCTCCAGCCCTGCTCCCTGGTCTTTAATATGGAGGATGAGCCTGAGGAACCTCCTGCCTGTGAGCCAGCAGTTGTGGAGAGTCCCTCTGATTCGCCTTCATGTGATCCAGAGCCTCCTCAAGTCGACATCAAACCCCCAGCACTTCCAAGCTCAGTGGACACTCAAAAAGACCTGCAGATCTCAGAGAAAAAGGAAGTTAAAGAGGTGAAATGAACTCTATTTGGAGTGTTTTTTTATTTTACTTGTGTTAGAAGAAACTTCAACAGATCTGAAAATGTTACAATTGTAGGTTTTGCTTGTGGACGCACCGGCACCAGCACTTCAGCCATCAGAAAAGCTGCTAATTGATCTCTCCAATACCCCAGACCTGATCAAGACTTCCTCTGGAAAGCCTTGGGGAGGACAGGTGAGAGGAAAGATTTTTTTATTTATATATATATATACACACACTCACACATACATATACATATATATGCACATATACACATACATACATATGTATATATATGCACTACCGTTCAAAAGTCTCCAATGCTCACCAAGGCTGCATTTATTTGATCAAAAATACAGTAAAAACAATAATATTGTGAAATATTGCATTTTAAAATGTTATTAATTTAAGCAGTCATTACTCCAGTCTACAGTGTGACGCAATCCTTCAGAAATCATTCTAAAATGCTTATTTGATGCTCAAGAAACATGAGTTATTATCAGTATTGAACAGTTGTGCTGATTTATGTTTTTTGGAAACCATGATACATGTTTTTTCAGGATCCATAGATGAATAGGGAGCTTAACAGCACTTATTTGAAAAAAACAAATGTGTTAGAACATTATAAATGTCACTTTTAATCAATCTAATGTGTCCTTAGTGAATAAAGATAGTAAAATCTTTTTTTTGTTTGTTTTTTTAAATTATTGACCCCAAACTTTTAAACGGTAATGTGCATTCTTATATTGCTTTCATTCTTCAGGTACTTATAATGTTTATTTAAATTAATTAGTAATTATTGGCTTCTTTTTCTCTAGTTAATTGATCTGAGCTCACCTCTTATAAAGTGGAGTCCAGAGGACAAGAAAGAAAATGCTGAGAATGCAGCTCCACTGATTGACTTGTCTTTTTAGAGGACCTGCAAAATTTACTGTGAACTGTACCAAGAAAAAAATTAACTGGAGCATTTCATACTGTTTAATACTGTTGAAATTAATTTAAGAGGGAGCATGGATGCTGCTGTGCTTTAATAGCCTGTGTGTTTTTATTTGTGTTGTCTGTCTGACATGATTGTATGTAATTATGGTGATCTGCAGTATTTTAGAAATCATAGTTGTATTTTCCCCAAAAGGTACAAATAAATGTTCAATTTACGTCTGCCATTGCTTTGGGTTTTTGGTTACATTTTGGAGAAGGACTCGTGGCATTGTGGGAAATCTGTCTCTCACACAAACGTCCTCCTATACGGTAGGGGGCGGTATTCAGGTACTGTTTTCATACTTTAAGCATCTGAAGCGTAGAAGAAGACGCCCATTGAGTGCCATGTTCATTTGCCAAATGTTTACTTAAAATTCTAAATTAAAAATGCGCTTTGCTTGATCATTTACCTTAATACATTTGTACAATTCAACTTGTGATGTTAAAATGTCAACGCTCGTCTTAGACAATGGCGCGTACTTCGCTAAAATCGGGTACAGTCATGAGAAAGTCAGGTACAGTGTATTTGTATGCATTCCTCATTGTTTAAAACATATTCTATTATGTGATTTACGTTCGTTATATTGAGCTAAGCACCGATTTTTTTTTTCTTTAGTGTTATCCCAAATTGCCAATTCCGTTCGAAGACCTCCAGACTGAAAACATTCACTGCTAATCAGCTGGATGAAATCAAAGATCCGTCTGGACTCTTCTACATCCTTCCTTTTCAAAAGGTATGGCCTCGATATTAATTATAAACTTCTCTGCAAGCTATATAAAGCGAATTGTGTCTTAGGTCATCTCTTCTGCATCTATATCAGGGGTTCCTTGTAAACTGGGATGTGCAGCGCAAAGTCTGGGATCATCTGTTTGGAAAAGAGATGTTTAAGGTACTTGAATGATTACAAACATACGTTTTCAGTTTCATAAATGTGCAGTATGAGATATTCAGCCTGTGCACAATATGTTTGCAGGTGGACTTTGCAGATACCAACATTGTGATAACAGAACCGTACTTCAACTTCAGCTCAATTCAGGAATCCATGAATGAGATTTTATTTGAAGAATATCAGTTCCAGTCAGCACTCAGAATTAATGGTAAGTTTATTGTTCTAAATTTAGATTAGAACACTACCAGGTGATTTTATCAATCTGATGAAATTAAATTTTTCAGCTGGATCTTTGAGTTCTCATCGGTACTTCCATGAGAATAACTCCGAGCTGTGTTGCATTGTGGTGGACAGCGGCTTCTCCTCCACGCACATTGTTCCCTATTGCAGAGGAAGAAAGATGAAGGAGGGCATTTGCAGGTGAGTGCTAATTATCCTAATGCTGTATAATTCTATATGCACTGAAGATCTTTTTATTAATCTCTTTGCACTTCCTAGGATAACTGTAGGAGGAAAGCTGCTCACCAACCATTTGAAGGAGATCATTTCATACAGGTATGCTTTGCACCATTTAAATACGTAAATTCTCTGTCAGTTCTTTGTTAAAGCTTGTGACAATTTTGTATTAAAGGCAGCTGCATGTGATGGATGAGACTTATGTGATCAATCAGGTCAAGGAAGATGTGTGTTATGTGTCACAAGATTTCTGCAAGGACATGGAGATTGCACAGTAAGTTTGGATAAACTGGATTGCTGTGCATATACTGTTAATAAATAAACATACATACATACATACAGTATAAACACAAAAGTAATACTTTTATTCAGCAAAGATGCATTAAACTGATCAAAAGTGACCGTAAAAACTTTTATAATTTTACAAAACATTTTTATTTTTAAAATGAATGCTGTTCTTTTGAACTTTGTATTCATCAAAGTGTTCTGAAAAACATGCATCACGGTTTCCAGTAAAATATTAAACAGCGACTGTTTTCAACATTGATATTACGAAATGTTTGAGAAAAAACTCTTGACCAGGGGCACATCAGGTAATCACAAGTTTAGACTATGCGTGCTCCAGAGAGGGAACAAAATGTCAAAAACAAAAAGTGGATCCCATTGCAACAAAAAACAGAAAAATCCTCATCCAGGCACTCGCATAGCAAGCAAAGTAAAAAGCCTTAAATTCTAAGACAGGGCTACATATTATAAAAACACCAACGCGTATCAGCCCAAGCAGGTCTCTTGTCAGGGTCTTAAACAATAGAGAGTAAGAAATGGTTAAATAGATACACCTGTGACTATACATTTTCAAGATCTAACCAATAGATGTCCCTTAGGAGTTTAAGAGCTTTCTCAAAATAAATACACCTGTGATTATACATTTTTAGGATCTAACTACTAGATGTCTCTTGGGTATTTACAAATGTATCATCTTGGGTAAACCATCCAAAAATAAAAATACAATATCACAAACTATCCCAAAGGACATAACAGTGGGAAAAAAATATATATATACATACGTGGAGATAGACTTAGATGGTTAAAACAACAAGAAACGGATTGGATACATAAATTAGATGCTCTCTTATATCCTGGTCTCAAAGATATTGATTTTCTCCATTTCTGTAATTGTTAGATTTGATTGTAGGTGCTTTTTATTGGTTTTTGTTCAATTGTTTTGTGTGTGTATATGTGTGTGTGTGTGTGTGTGTGTGTGTGTGTATATGTGTATATATATATATATATATATATATATATAT